AAAACACGACAACCATCCATTTTCCAGCCATCTGCAGCTTCTTTGGCTTCCCTTTCATTTAATCCCAAGGGAAGTTGCCCATGAGACGTTTTCAGCTCTCGAAAGAAGGGCAGCCAGGGAGTCTGGAGAGGGATGGGAAGATGTGGGGCAGAAAAACACGACAACCATCCATTTTCCAGCCATCTGCAGCTTCTTTGGCTTCCCTTTCATTTAATCACAAGGGAAGTTGCCCATGAGACATTTTCAGCTCTTGAAAGAAGGGCAGCCAGGGAGTCTGGAGAGGGATGGGAAGATGTGGGGCAGAAAAACACGGCAACTATCCATTTTCCAGCCATCTGCAGCTTCTTTGGCTTCCCTTTCATTTAATCACAAGGGAAGTTGCCCATGAGACATTTTCAGCTCTTGAAAGAAGGGCAGCCAGGGAGTCTGGAGAGGGATGGGAAGACGTGGGGCAGAAAAACACGACAACCATCTTCTCTCCAGCCATCTGCAGCTTCCTTGCCCCCCCTCCCTTTTCATTCATTTGGAAGGGAAGGCATCAGGCAATGTGGAAAGTGTGAGGGAGGGTGCAGGGGGCTGGAGAACCCTTTACCAAATTGCCCTCATCGCCTTCCAACGTGAGCAAAATTTGGAAGAAATTCTCCAGCCCCTTTTGGGGAAGAAACGTGTTGAGAGATTGGCAGCCGGTTGTCTGAGTGCTGCTCAGATGTGTTCGGTTACCAGGCTGCAACTCTGTGACGTCGTCTGCCAGCATGTGCGAAGGCGGTCTCCTCTGAGCCCTCCAGCGTTTAATTGTTAGAATCCAGCAAGTCGATTACTTAAATATTTGGATTTCCTATTCTTCTCTTATAGATGTCGATGAGTGTGAAGCTGGAAATGGCGGCTGTCAATCACAGTGCTGCAACACTATGGGGAGTTACTACTGCAAATGCCCCCAAGGCCTGAAGCTGAAGGACGATGAGAAAACCTGCGCAGGTAACAGCAGCCCATTGTGGCTTCAAAAAATATCTTCCCTCCTTATTCATTTCGTTTCTTGCTCGCCTTTTCTCCCAGAGCTCAAAAGGGGAGTACGCGTCTGCCTCATTTCAGTGCCACTACAACTCCCAGAATTCCCCAGTTGAAGTCCACACACCTTAAAGCTGCCAAGGTTGAGATACACTGCTGAGATCGAATCGGCTGCTTCTGAATCCATTTTGTCCTGAATCCGCACCTCTGTTTGTCTTTCGTTTTTCCTCTTCCATACCAATGCATCTTTCCTTTAATGCTGTGTCTTTTCCATCAGAAGTAGCCCAAGCCCCTCTCTGGGCTGCTGTTTGTAGGCTGCTCTGGGAAACATTTGGGGGGAATGCCAGGAAGGTTAACATGCTTTAAATAAACTAATTCTACATATAGGCTTAGACTTTTGGAGAAAACATTTTTTCCCTTCGTTTCTTTAGTTTCTGGATTTTTTCAGTAAGGCCTGCAGGGTCTGTGATAATGAATAGACCATTTTCAGCAGAGTTTGTGAATTAGCACGCAATGCTGTTTTCTGATGCAACGGGGTTTGGCAGACGAAGTGGCAAGCGATGGCAGACTTGCGCCCCACGTTGATCCCTTTCCAGAAGCAATAAAATCAGATTTCTTTCAGGCTCCCTTTGGTGGTTAATTAAATCTTTCCCTTTGCCGACTGCGCTACGAGGCTCTGATTATTGCACAAACGAGTTTAATTATTAGTTGTGAATTGTTCCTGGGTATGTTTGGAACTTTAAACTGATTGAACGAATTGGTTTTTAATTTGATGACCATGGACGTTTTGTAGGATTTGGCCAGTGAAGTTTGCAAACTCTTGAGTCTGATAGCAGTATATAAACCACTGATATACAAAATAATAATATACAAAATAATTCTCCAAGGCCTCAAATGCCTAGCTAGAATTTGTCCCTAGATCTTAAAGGGAAAGTAAGATCTGAATATTCCCCCTACAATAAGGTAATTTAACAATATAAACGTAAATTGTCCCATCGGATTGACAAATCGGGGGTATTAATCAGGCCACCAAAAAGGGAATCGATCCATTTCTCGTCAGTTTCACAATTTTGATCGGAAACTCCCAGCCTCTGATTTAATTTCCTGTATTTATATTACCTTCTCTTTCCAGCATACCAGAAGCTAAACTGTAAGGACCGTTTAGATCCATTTAAATATCATCCTTGGCGTTGCACATATGCCCCCCAAAATCATGAGAAAAATATTTGGAATGAGGATGGGGCGGGGGGAAATCCAGATCTTTAAGGGAGAAATATTGCAGAGGGCATTTAGGGAAGAAATGTGATGCGTTGCTGGTTTAATGATGGATAAATTGCACATCGTGAAAGCATGGTGTGGTTTGCTCGTTTGTGGCTAATCCCTGATTCACCAAACGATGAAGCCTGCAAACTCAGTTTCTTTCTGGCTTAGTAGTCACCTCCTCCTTGTCTGCGAAGGTGCAGAGCAAACCAGGAGGGAAACAAATAAACCTAGATTGCTTGCTTTTCCGTGAGACAAGCCGAGTTGATCTTTGAGGAGCCGGCTTGGCACGCGATGGATGGACTTTGCAGCATCTAGGAGATCTTCCCAGGATCCTGCTGACTCAGAAGAGGATTTGAGCCCCCCAGAGCAAATTCCAATCTCATTTCGAGCCCAAACATAACAGTTGGACCATCCCTTTCTGCAGACTTATTTGTGGATGATCAATCACCCCCCGGGGGGCCTTTTTTTGCCAGTTCCTCTCAACACATGGGGATAAATCTGGGCTGGGAGCAAGAAGGCCTGCGAAATTCCTTTTCCTTGACGAGCGCTCTGCACGTGGATGCTGTAGATGTCGACAAATTCCTCCCTCCATGATGGATGCCTCGGGGATGCCAAGCGAGGCTTCCCAACTTCTCAAGAACCATGGAGACTTCCCGGGGCTGAATGAATTGCGGTGACAGGGGGAACTTGTAGCTCGGCCAAGGGACACAGTCCGGCATCCAGAAGACCCCAGGATCTGCCTGTCCTCCAAAAGTTTGTTTTCCAGGGAAACAAACCAGGTCCGTTTGAGAAGACCCATCAGAGCCTCGTCAGCGTCAGCCATGGGTGCTGAGAATCGAGCCATGTTCTTGGTGGAGGTCCAGCTACGAGATGTGGAAGCCTCCATCTGCTGTCAGCTCCTGAAGCTCAGAATGTAGAGAGTGTCCTTCGCTTCCAGTTTTCTCCTACCCGCCCAAAAAGTGTTCCCCCCCCCTTTTGAACATGGATGGAGTCCTGCAGTGTGCAAAACCCAACTGAGAGGGGCTTGGCTTTGTTGAGAACCGTTGAGTGTATCCAACTTTGGTGGTCCGTGTAGCATGTGGTCAAATTCTCCATCAACGGATTCCTGATCAAGGGAAGCGCTGGGGAGCGTGAAGGGGGGAACCGAGTTGCTGCTATTTTTGCCCCCAAAGATGCTGAACGGACATTGCTCTGCACGCTGCCGAGAACACCGTGAGAACCGCTGGGCACAGACTGGAGCCCATGGAGGTCAATGGCCCCTCGTCAGGGCAAGCGGAGCCCACCGCAACCCACGTGCAACTCCGTAATCCCCCTCATTTGCACAATTGCACCGTATGGCTCGTCTGCCGTAGCCTGGAACGGACAAAGGAAGGGGCTCTCGGTGGCTGCCTCCCAAGGATGCCTGCAGGCAATCCAGCCAGATCTGCCGGGAGATCTGTTTCCCTTCTTTGTGGCCAGGGAGAAGCTGATGGAGAGGAAGGGGCTTTGGCCATCTTGCACACCCACTTTTTCCTTCTCCCCCCCCCCCCCCCATCTATGGCTTGTGAAGAGTGGGGGGAAAATGTCCTTGTTGTAGACAAAGCCATGCCTCCCTATTTTACAGTTTCATCTGTTTTCAATCAACCCTGCACTGGAACCCAGAGATAGGTAGATAGATAGATCGGATGGATGGACAGACAAACAGATAGATATAGATAGGATGGATAGAAAGAAAGAAAGAAAAAAAAAGAAAGAAAGAAAGAAGGAAAGGAAGGGAGGGAGGGAGAGAGAGAGAGAGAGAAAGAAAGAGAAAGAAAGAAAGAAAGAGAAAGAAAGAAAGAAAGGAAAGAAAGAAAGAAAAAGAAAAAAGAAAATAGGTAGATAGAATGGATAACTGGATGGATGGACAGACAGATATAGATAGGATGGACAGATAGGACGGATGGATGGGTAGACAGACAGACAGACAGACAGACAGGAGAGATAGATTGAAGTTGGTCTAGAAAAAAAGACCCACACCAGGATTAAGATGGAGTTGGGGGTTAGGAGGACCCCCCCCCCAGTATATTCTGAAGTTTGCAAATTCCCTTCCCAGTCTGGTTTCACTTAGAGGTCCCGCGTACAACCGTGGCAAGTCATACATCACCCCTTCCAAACCATACGTCGTAATTTGGAACTTCGCTGCATCCAAAGAAAACCGCGGAAATAGCTCCAATTCTTCGGTCTTCTCATGCCATTTTCCAGAACAGCTAGTTGTGTGTGTGTGCGTCTTTGTGTGTGTGTGCGTGCAGGCAGTTTGCTTCTGGAAGTCAGAGGAAAGCAGGTCCCTAGATAGGATTAATTTTTGCATCGTTTTGGCCTGCTAAGCTGAACGGTTCAGTGCTTCGTTCCAAATGGTTGCAGTTCAAATCCGTACAGGCTCTGAGTCGACAAGGCTCCGATTTTTACTCTGGAGTGGGCTTGTCGGAATGGAAGACCAGTGTTACCTTGTAGTTTTCACCCCAGTTTTACACTAGCCAGGATCATCAGCTTGCCCAGCGAAGAAGGGCTGTTTAGGCACTGGAATTTTAATTTCCCAGTAGGGCGCATGGAGGTAAAATTGAATTTTTCAAGCAGAAAATACAGCCCAGAATTCAGTCTGAGCTTCAGGAGCAGATCTTCGAAGGGGGCTGAAAGTCAGGGAAAAAATGGAAATGGAAATTCCAGCGTCGGGGTTTTTTTTGGGAAGGAAGCAAACTTAGATTTTTGCAAAAGGGGGACAAACTAGATTTACGCCCCAGGTACAGTCTGTGCGGCCAGCTGTAAATTGGTGACAAATCTAGTTTTTTGGAGGCCTTGGGCCAGGAGTGAGTGATCTTTCCATACTAAGGGGATTGCCCCCTTTAAAAAAAAGATTTTGGAGGCTCACGGTGGGGTTGACTTTAACAAACAATAGATTTTTTTTGGAATTTGGGGAAAAGCAGCCCCCAAATTTCCTTGAAGGGGAAAACCAGCCCCTAAACTGTCCCACTCAAAATCGGCTTGACGTGAAAATTCAGCGGTGTGATTTCTGGGGTCGTACGCAGCCATAGGGGACTCCCGATTTGGTTGCGAAATTTGCTTTCATGAGCGAAATTGCGGGTTTGATGCTGCACTAAAGTTATCCATGTTGGACTTTGGGGCCATATTCTGCCTGTGTCAAGCAATAATCTCTGATTTTGGGATATACAGAGCAATGAACGAACCATGGATGCTTTGGTGAAACCCCAGAAGTCACCCTTGGGCGCTCAGGGGATAAATTCCGTCTGGGGCACCAAGGAGCCAACGAAGCAGAGTCTATAATATTTATCCTCTCTTTAACCATGATTCATAGCCAGGCCCGTTCCTAGCCAGGGAGTTGTTTTGGAAATGTTGCAGATCGCTCATCTTTACGTTCAAACCGGGACCTCTGCGAGGGGTTAATTAGGTCCCCTACATTTACATCCTGATTAATTTTTCCTGCTGAAATTCTCTGAATCGACCCGCTGAGAATTTTGCTGTTGACCCATTTGTCGACTTTGATTCCTGGTCAAAAAATCCAAACCCGGGATTGTGCCTTTGGATTTCAAGAAGGTGGGGGAGGAAATTTTCAGGAGAGAAGGCAAATTCAGCATTTTCAGGAGAGAAGGCAGCATTATTTATTTGGGGTGCTATTAAACAACCCCCCCAGGATGACCACGGGGTTATTAGCAAGGCTGTAAGGGTTTAGG